GGCGAGGTGATCACAAACATTGAAGAGCAACAAAACAGGTGGGTAGAACACTTCAAAGAACTCTTGAATCGACCAGTTCCACTAAACCCACATCGAAGCAACACCCACGGACCTCCCAATCAATGTTGGCCCACCAACAATTGAAGAAATCAGCATGGCCATCAGACAAATCAAGAGTGGCAAAGCAGCAGGACCAGACAACATTCCAGCAGAGGCACTGAAAGCAGGCGTAGCGGCAACTGCAAGGATACTCCACATTCTCTTCAGCAAGATTTGGGATGAGGAATAAGTACCAACATACTGAAAAGGAGTTCTGGTCAAAATACCGAAGAAAGGCGATCTTAGCAACTGTGATAACTACAGGGGCATCACTCTTCTCTCAATGCCAGGAAAAGTCTTCAACATGGTATTGTTAAACAGAATTGAGGACTGCGTAGACGCCCAACTTCGAGACCAACAGACAGGATTCCGTAAGGATAGATCGTGTACAGACCAAATTGCAACTCTACGAATCGTTGTGGAACAATCAATTGAATGGAATTCATCACTCTACATCAACTTCATTGACTGCGAAAAAGCATTTGAAAGCGTGGACGGGACAACACCATGGAAGCTTCTTCGACACTACGGCGTGCCTCAGAAGATAGTCGATATCATACAGGACCCATATGATGGATTACACTGCAAAATTGTGCATGCAGGACAATTGACAAACTCGTTCGAGGTACAGACCGGTGTCAGGCAAGATTGCTTACCCTCACCCTTTCTCTTTCTCCTGGTGATCGACTGGATCATGAAGACGTCAACATCTGAAGGGAAACTCGGGATACAATGGACAGACGGGATGCAGCTGGACGACCTAGACTTCGCAGATGATCTGGCCCTTCTATCGCAATCGCAACAACAAATGCAGGGGAAGACGAACAGGGCGGCAGCAGCCTCAGCAGCAGTAGGTCTCAATATACACAAAGGGAAAAACAGGATTCTCCGATACAACACAGAATGCACCAATTCAACCACAATTGACGGAGAAGATTTGGAAGATGTAACAACCTTTACGTATTTGGGCAGCATCACTAATGAACACGGTGGATCTGATGCAGATGTGAAGGCGCGGATCGGCAAAGCAAGAGCAGCATATTTACAACTGAACAACATCTGGAACTCAAAGCAACTGTCAACCAACACCAAGGTCAGGATTTTCAGTACAAATGTCAAGACAGTTCTACTATATGGGGCAGAAACCTGGAGAACTACAAAAGCCATCATCCAGAAAATACAGGTGTTTATTAGCAGTTGTCTACGCTAAATACTTCAGATCCGTTGGCAAGACACTATTAGCAACAACGTACTGTGGGAGAGAACAAACCAGATCCCAGCGGAGGAAGAAATCAGGAAGAAGCGCTGGAAGTGGATAAGACACACATTGAGGAAAGCACCCAACTGCATCACAAGACAAGCCCTCACATGGAATACTCAGGGCCAAAGGAAAAGAGGAAAACCAAAGAACACATTACGCCGAGAAGTGGAAATAGACATGAGAAAAATGAACAAGAATTGGGTGGAACTAGAAAAGAAGGCCTTGGACAGAGTGGGTTGGAGAATGCTGGTCGGCGGCCTATGCTCCATTGGGAGTAACAGGCGTAAGTAAGTAAGTAAGTAAGTAAGTAAGTAAGTAAGTAAGTAAGTAAGTAAGTAAGTAAGTAAGTAAGTAAGTAAGTAAGTAAGTAAGTAAGTAAGTAAGTAAGTAAGTAAGTAAGTAAGTAAGTAAGTAAGTAAGTAAGTAAGTAAGTAAGTAAGTAAGTAAGTAAGTAAGTAAGTAAGTAAGTAAGTAAGTAAGTAAGTAAGTAAGTAAGTAAGTAAGTAAGTAAGTAAGTAGTAAGTAAGTAAGTAAGTAAGTAAGTAAGTAAGTAAGTAAGTAAGTAAGTAAGTAAGTAAGTAAGTAAGTAAGTAAGTAAGTAAGTAAGTAAGTAAGTAAGTAAGTAAGTAAGTAAGTAAGTAAGTAAGTAAGTAAGTAAGTAAGTAAGTAAGTAAGTAAGTAAGTAAGTAAGTAAGTAAGTAAGTAAGTAAGTAAGTAAGTAAGTAAGTAAGTAAGTAAGTAAGTAAGTAAGTAAGTAAGTAAGTAAGTAAGTAAGTAAGTAAGTAAGTAAGTAAGTAAGTAAGTAAGTAAGTAAGTAAGTAAGTAAGTAAGTAAGTAAGACCCCTGGTATTGGATGCATTCCCGTGACCATTTTCGTACATCTTTGTTTATCTTTGGCCATACAAATCCATCTGTGATAACCTTTACAGTGGCTGTTATACCTGAATGAGATATATTGTGTAATTTCTCAAAATTGTTTCGTCTCATGTCTCAAGGTACAAAGGGGCTAGTTTTACCTGTTGAGATATCACAGGTTAAGGTGTCTTTGTTGTTTATGGGGATGTTTTGGAATAATAATTTCGTTTCTTTAGACTGCAAAACTTTTTGTTGCTCCCTATTGAGCTTTTGATTATTTGCCATGTCTTGATAGTTTATATCAATTATCGAGAAGGTATTGATATTTAATCTCGATAGTACATGTGCTGCATCATTTTCATTGCCTTATATATAGCGTACATCAGCTGCATATCGCGAGATGAATTCTAATTGACGAATTTCGCGCGGACTGTATTTATCATGATTGTGCATCATAAACTTAGAGGTTTGTGATCAGTATATATCGCAAAAGAATTCCCTTCTAACATATACCGAAAGTGTTTGATAGCTAAGTAGACAGTTAACTGTTCTCTACCGAATGTGCTATATTTTGTTTACGTTGCGTTAAGCTTTTTTAAGAAAAATTCAAGGGGTTGTCATTGTTGATTGACACGTTGCTGGATTACAGCACCTACTGCTACATTAGAAGCGTCGGTCATTACTGCTAGAGGTGCATCAACCTTTCGTCGTGCGACTAATGCCTCGGTGCTTAAGGCGCTTTTCAACTGTTCAAATGCTTGAATTGCTTGCGGTGTCATTGCTAATGATTTAACTCATCCCCCTAATAAATCAATTAGCGGTTTTGCTATGTCTGCACAATTCGGAATAAAACGTCTGTAAAAGTTGATAATCCCAAGGAAACGTCCTAGTTTCTTGAGTGAATCAGGTAAAGGATAATTTTTGATGGCTTGTGTTTTCTTAGGAACTGGTTTGATGCCTTGATTATCAAGTACGTGATCTAAAAAGTTGAGGGATTGTTTTCTGAACTCACATTTGTCAGGGTTGACTGCTAACCCATACTCTTTTAGCTTCTCAAAAAGCATTTTCAGATGAGTTAGATGTTCATTTTCATCTTTGCTTGGGATAAGTAGGTCATCTATGTAAGCATATACAAACGGTAAGCCACGTACCACTTGGTCGATAAAACGCTAGAAACTTTGTGCCTCATTCTTTAATCCGAAAAGCATGCGAACAAATTTGTATAGTCCAAATGAGGTAGTAATGGCTGTTTTGGGAATATCGTCCGGGTGAATTGGAATGTGATGGTAAGCACAGACTAGATGAGCCTTTAAAAAAGTCGTCACATCACACAGACTATGAGTAAAGTCATGTAAATGTGAAAGAGGATATCTGTCTAGTATAGACCGGCTGTTAGAGATCTATCGTCACCGCAAGGTCTAACTTCGGAAGAGTCCTTCTTGGGTACCATATGGGGCGGTGATGCCCACGGACTATCGGAGGGGCGTACGATACCCAACTCTATCATTTTGTTGAATTCGCTCTTTACGAGAACCAGACGAGAGGGGTCAAGGCGTCTTGGACGTGCGAACACTGGTGTACCCTCTGTCTTTATGTGATGTACGACGGTATACGTCGGTTAGTCATGCTCGAAACTCGGTTGTAATAATCTGAAAACTGCTTAAGTAAATTGATGTATTTGTCATTCTCGTGATGAGGTTTGACTAATAAATGTATGGAAGTCTCATTAGATACAATTCCTCTAATTTCCTTACTCTGATAGGCAAGTACAAGTTTCCGATTTCTAACATCTAATAGTATTTTATGGAATTGCAGAAAGTCAGTGGCGATTATAGAAACGAGGACGTCAGCTATGATGACGCTCCATGGAAAATTGGATTTAGGGTCGAAATTTAATTGTAACCGCCTTTTACGGTCCGCCTTGATCTCAGATCTGTTTGCGGCTTGTAGATTTTGTTTGGGGTCAGGTGTGTTTTTCTGTAGTGTGGTGGGTGGCACTATACTAACGTCTGCCCTAATGTCGATTAAGAACTGTGTTCCGATTCTTTTGTCAGTTGGGCTTGATTGTATGTGAGATACGGAGCGAGTCATAGTCGGCTCGTAAATTCTATCGGCTATGTCCGTTAGCCTATCAAAATCGATATCTTCATCTCCAATTGCTAGTATCTGTTGGATGTTTTGTATGAGACGTCTGGGCCACAATTGATACAATAGACGTTTATATAATGTACGATTCCCTAATAATTTTTGTCATGTGGCTTCTTAGTTGAGGTAGTGTACTGTCACCTAGCTCTACATTAGCTAAAAGTTGATCAAATGTCTGCTGGTCGGTGAGAGATGTAACACGAATGACCTACGTTTTCAGACAGTCGTATGGTGAGTCTGAATCCGGCTTAAAAATGACGTCAGGCACATGTTCAGTAATGTCATCCGGCAGCAATGAGTTTGCGTAACTAAATTTCGTGCTCTGACTTGTGATTCTGTTTGTAAAAAAGGCTTTCTAAGCGTGCGAACCGGAGTTGTGTTTCAACACATTCAGTGCGACATAGAGACTGGGAATGTAGCCGGATAAACACGTCAATAATAAAATGAGGAAATATAGTAGTAGAATGTAATGAGAGGAGAGAAGGAATGACATAAAATGTATTTACAGAATTGCTGTCACGTTTTGTTTTTATTATCGACGTTTGAGAACATAAGGAAGCTGAACTGGCAGTTAAATTTCATAAGGTAATCATATCCTCGTTGTTTTTGAAGATTTCTTAAATTTTCCAAACAATATTCTTTGCAATTGTAATCTCTGGGATTTCATGTACTCAAATTACTGGAAATACCGAAGTTGATTTATGGTTAGCGGTTTAAAGCGACCTCTACCGTTAGTAGACATATCCCCGTATTATACAATTAGACCACATGTGAATAATCCTACAGTATGATAATAATGATTGTAGGACGCATTGGTGCTTCGAAAGTTTTCCACTTATGGATGTCAGATCTAATCTTCCCTATCCCGATATCTCAATCATTGATCCTATTGTTTTATGAATTTAAACAATATTTTCAGAATGCAGAATTAGAAAGACTCAAATTGGCTCGAGCTGCAGAGATCGCCTATATCAAGGAAAAGAATGAATTAGCTCTAAAGTATAAGGAAGACGAAACGGAAATCGAGAAATCGCGTTTCATTTCAATGGTGAATGCATTAGGTGCAGATACACTACGTGCAATGGCAACAGCCGAATCAGACCATAATCTACGCATGTTGAACGCTTTGGGCCTACAAAGTACATTAATTACAGATGGGACGACACCAGTGAATTTGCTAACTACCGCTCATGGTTTAATTGGTTCAGTGTTTAAAGGTTCTTCTCGTAAACGTACTTCAGAGGTTTTAGACGATGTAGATGAAAAATGAAGCTCAATCGATATTTACTGTTTACATTCATGAGTTTTGCTTTAATCTATTTCTTTATACTTGCTTGATTTTTTAATGTATTGTTTCAACATACTTTTTTCATGGTTGGCTGTGACGATTTCTCCAAATGAATACGTAATAATAATAAAATATTACGTATGATCAAGCACATATATGCATAGGTCCAAGTTGCCATACCTCATTAGCACAACAAGATGAAAACCAAATTTATAGAAGTAGTTATTTCAATGGTAGTAATATGTAAAAGAAAAATTGTGTATACAGATATAGTACAGGAAGAGATAATTGGTTCGTAAAAAGAAAGGTATGAGGGAATTCTAATCTCACGGTTTAAGAGAAGATAAATAGTGTATACACCTACGCCATTTTGGTCGATTCTGATCCATGTTACACAGAGTCTCCAACCATCGGTTACGATAGTCACGCAGACCCCTACCAAGTAGTCTGCATCCACCAACATGGTTCAGTCTAAAAGTTAGTGACTTCAAGCACTGACGTCAAGATTTGGTTTAGCCGCCCCTAACCTAGTTCCAGCCGTCTCCAACACTAGTCAGAGTTGCGAGACGTGGTAATCAGTGTTGAGTCAACCCAACCAACCATCTCAGTTGATGAAGATTTATAACCTCATCAACTGATTTACCACCATGCCCTAATATCATGCGTCTAACCTCACTATTACTTACCCGGTGATCCCACAAGATTCGAGTAATATTTCTGAGACATCTATGATCAAATACTAGTACCTTACGAGTATCTTCTACTCATAATGACCACGTTTCACAGCCGTAAAGTAGGACAAAACGAACTACCGTACGACATACTCGTCCCTTAGTTGATAAACGGATATCTCGCCTTCGCCACAAGTGATGTAAGTTGACAAAAGCCAAACGGGCTTTCTGAATCCGTGCTGAGATTTCGTCAGACACCAACCCGTTACGGCTGATCGGTCTTGCAAGATAAGTGAAGTTGTCCACGCGGTCGATTACTTCACTCGCTATCTATAGTTCAGGTGTTGACACTGACCAGTCCTGAAACAAAAACTTGCATTTAGAGGGGGAGAAATGCATCCCAAACATTCTGGCATTGTTGCTCAGTGCTACCAAAACACTGCATTTTATCAGCGTCTTCACCAAAAACAGGACTGTGTCATCTGCGTATTCTAAGTCAATAACTGTACCTCCTAGTACGAGATCGATCCTCGAAAATTCAGTCGACGAGAATGTTATTTCCATCAGTATGTCTATGATGAAGTTCAACAAAAATGGAGAAAGTGGACAGCCTTGACGGACACCATTTGAGGTTGCAAAAGCAGATGACAGTTCGCCATAAGCTCTGACTCGACTAGTAGTGTTCGAGTAAAGAGCTTTCACAAGGTTTATGTACTTCTGAAATACGCCTTCCAATGACAGATACTGCCACAGAATCTCGCGGTCTACGGAGTCAAATGCTGCTTCTAAGTCAAGAAAGACCACCATTGTCGGACGCCGATAAGTATGCCTGTGTTCTGGAACCTGACGAATGGTGAAAATGTGGTCGATGCAGCCACGACCAAGTCTGAAGCTAGCCTGATTTTCTCGTGTTTGCAGTTCACGAGTCTTAGTTAGGCGTCCGATAATTATCGATTTCAGTGTTTTAGATATTATATTAGTTAGACGAATCCCTCTATGGTTATCACAAGATGATTTTAACCCTCTCTTATATATTGGGACGATAAGTGATTGTGACCAGTTAGATGGGATAACGTCTAACTCCCAGATCTTAGCTAAAATATTAGTCGACCTAATCGCTAAAATTGGACCACCATCCTTAAAGACCTCTGGAGCCAATCCATTTGGACCAACTGCACTTCCTCGTTTCAGATTAACTATAGCCTTTTGAACTTCTGCTAGAGTTGGGGGACCTACTTCAGTGTTCCATTCACACTGTCTGGGAATAGAGGGTAGTTGTAGAGTGGCTGAGGGCCAGCTGAACTGTCCTCTGAAATATTCCGCCCATCGTTCTAAACGTCTGGACTGAGAGCAGATGAGGCTGTCGTCTTTTTCCGAAATATTCTGACTTACACTTGACTTAATAATTCCAGTTTCTTTTATTAGTCTGTAGAGCTGTCTTGTGTTCCCTATAGCCGCCGCCTTTTCCATCTCTTTCGCTTTCGTTGCCCACCACTGCTCACGGTCGTTTCTTAGACTTTTTCTTAACCTAGATCTGGTTTGTTGTCGCTCTTCATCGTGTTCAGAGCCTGATGGGATGAGTTTACGAGAATCCATCAGTGCAATAGGCCTTGAGGAAATCCATTGGTTCTTTGTAACTTACTTACTTACGCCTGTTACTCCTCGTGAAGAAGCATAGGCCGCTCACCAGCATTCTCCATCCGACACTATCCTGGGAAATCCTTTCCAGCTCCTTCCATTTCCTATTCATCCCATCCATATCTGCTTCTATTATCGGACGTAGTGTGTTCTTAGACCTTTCTCTTTTCTGCTTCCCTTCAAGATTCCAAGTTAAGGCTTGTCTCGTGATGCAGTTTGATGATTTGCGTAATGTATGTTCTGTCCATTTCCATCGTCTTTTCTTAATTTCTTCTTCAGCTGGAAGCTGATTTGTTCTCTCCCAGAAAAGGCTGTTGCTGATGGTATCCGGCCAATGGATGTTGAGTATCTTGCGTAGACAGCTATTTATAAATACTTGTACCTTCTTGATTGTGGTTGTTGTAGTTCTCCAAGTTTCAGCTCCATATAGTAGAACTGCCTTGACGTTGGTATTGAAGATTCTCACTTTTATGTTGGTTGAAAGTTGTTTTGAGTTCCATATGCTCTTCAATTATTATTATTATTATTATTCACAAACATCTTATGGGTACATGAGTGTTGTGAAGAAGACATTTCGGGTTTCTTCTTGTAGGAATGCGACCCTTGCTTTACCAATCCTTGCCTTTACGTCTGCATCTGGACCTCCTTGCTCATCGATTATGCTTCCCAGGTATGTGAAGGATTCTACATCTTCCAGAGTTTCGCCACCAAGAGTGATTGGATCGCTGTTCTCCTCTTTGAATTTGAGGACCTTGGTTTTCCCTTTGTGTATGCTGAGGCCTACTGATGCAGAGACTGCTGCTACACTGGCTGTCTTTGTCTGCATCTGTTCGTGTGTACGTGATAGGAGGGCTAGTTCATCTGCGAAGTCCAACTCGTCTAATTGATTTTGAGCTGTCCATTGTATTCTCTGTTTTCCTTCAGATGTCGAGGTCCTCATAATCCTGTCGACCACCAGAAGAAAGAGTAAGGGAGAGAGTAGACAGCCTTGTCTGACTCTGGTCCTTACTTGGAATGCATCTGTCAGCTGTCCTCCATGCACTACTTTGCATTGTAGTCCGTCGTATGAGTTCCGGATAATATTGACAATCTTCTCAGGAACTCCGTAGTGTCGAAGAAGTTTCCATAACGTCCTTCTATCCACACTGTCAAATGCCTTTTCATAATCAATGAAGTTGATGTATAGTGACGAGTTCCACTCGAATGATTGTTCGTATTGTTGCAATTTGGTCTGTGCACGATCGATCCTTACGGAATCCAGCTTGTTGATCTCGAAGTTGGGCGTCTACTGCATCTTTCATCCGGTTCAGCAACACTCTGTTGAAGACCTTTCCTGGTATTGACAGTAGTGTAATGCCTCTGTAGTTCCCACATTTGCTCAGATCTCCTTTCTTTGGAATCTTGAAGAGGTGTCCTTCTTTCCAGTCCATCGGCACTTGTTCCTCCTCCCAAATCTTTTTGAATAGAAGGTAAAGCATGTTTGCAGTTACTTCGATGTCTTTGTAACCCTGTGGTTTAAATCACTGATAGATGTCACTGTTGTTTCCACAGCTGTTTGTATATTTTTCCAAGCAACATCTGGGTAAGCCTCGTTTTCAGAACTACCTAAGTGTGACTTCAGTTGTTTCTGGAACTTACTTTTGGTTTTCTCGCTACTCAATTCAGTTCTAATGGGTCTTTTTACTGTGGCTTTTTTTGCGTCCAGTGAGGCACAAACAGATGTGTGCTCTTATTATAGCATGATCGGAGTCCAACATAGGTGTTCTAGAACGAGTGACAGTCTTCTATTGAGCCTCCCCAACGATGACTGATGGCAATATGCTCTATTTGAGTCCGTCGTTGGTTTGGTGTAAGGGGTCGCCATGTTGGACGATGTCTCTTCTTATGCTTAAAATTTGTGTTTGCTAAAAATAAACGATTGTCTGAGCACAGTTGCAGCAGACGATCACCATTATCTGTTCGTTGTGCCGGAATACTAAAATACTCACCTAAATGCCCTTCTGTTTGGTTTAAACTACCTATCTCGGTATTGAAATCACCTGCTACGAGTACTGTCTGAACATTTGGCATTCTGAAGGAGTTTAGAAAGCTCTGTAAAATTCATCTTTCGTTTCATCCGGGCTTCAGTCAGTGGGAGCGTATGCAGAAAGGACAAAAAGGCAACGACGTATGTCCCTATCCTTCCGAGTTCTTACGCAGCCGTTTAACCGAACAGCACATAAACGACTGTTAACGGGGATTCACTTTAACAGTGCTTGTCCCGCCCTCATGCTTAGTGCCATGCCCACACCTGTTAGTCCACGAGAGCTGGCCGTCAGGTCACCAGATACACGGAGGGTATATCTCGTTGACTCTCCGTTTTGCCAAGGTGAGGTCAAGTGAATGTCCGCACTGGTATCCTGTATGCGTGTTTCAGAGACATAGCATACATCAATGGTACGGAATTCTAGGGTTCTAGCTAAGGAAGCCTGTCGACCGATTTGACATAAGGTTCGTACGTTGAAGGCTCCAATGTGTAGTTTAGAGCACGGTTTCAGTAGACCTGGAACAGTGTTTTGTGCACTGGAATCGTTGGCTACGGTGACACTTGAGGGGGAAGTCAAAACAAGAAGTTTACTATTGAAAGTCGATGTAGAAGGAGTAATAGGAAGTGAAGACGGAGGTTAGTTATGA